CGCCAGAAAAAATTCCGCGCGCGCAAGAAAAGGGTTTTGACACTAACGGCGTTCCATACCCGGCGTCACACAGGAGTCTCGGAATTCGGGACATGGAAAATGCTTAAAAGTGGCGCCAGCTCTCCCAATTACATTACGACTCTATGTACTCTATGGTTATGGATTGCGCATTGCTCTTTTTTTCAAAATGGCGGCCGATTTGTTTACGTTGTGCGCACCGGTCAACGTGAATGAGCACCGAATTGGTGCGGTTTCGGGGTCATCCGCCGAATTCCAACGATGGACTCCTCCTTTCCGCCAGTCGGTAAAACCCCGGTCTCTATTTGTCTCTGTTATCATTACGCTGAATTCTAGCGCCAGATTCAGGGTTGAACCATTTTCAATCCTTGGTTTAGCCAACGTGAAAACGTGAATGCATACCCAAGTTTTTCTTCGCATCTTCAATTTCGCACTGAAGATTCGTAATAGTTCTTCTGAAAGTTCGTAAGTAACTAATTGCATTTCACTTGCTACTACGACTACTGTCAACCATTATGTTCTTGAAAGCATGAGGATCCCAGGGATTTGTCACTCCTCGCTCGAGTCACATGCCACATTTAGACTATCCTCAATGCACGGAAACACATTATGGTAATTGAAAACATCTGAGTGTTTCTTGGACAGAAATCCCTTTAATTAAGCAGTATTTTCTGGTTTAAGATATATGAACCAATATATTCTTAAAAAATAACAAGTAAACTTTGCCCAAGATTCAGCCTCCGGGTGTTCCTTGCTCTTACATGTTTACACTAGCTATGTTTATGCATAGCCTCTAAACATAAGCAGTGTTGTTCAAGTTAGAAGTGCAACCGCTGAGTTATCTGCTGAGTGGCTGAGCTCAGCTGATGTGTTGTTAAACGTTTTCTGAGTTATCCGCTGAGGTAAGCAAAAGCCGCCATCTTCTCTGCAAAATCGCTCAGCGCTCAGCCTGGTTCCCAGGGCGCTTACCAGTTTTGCTGAGAAAATGGCGCCCTTTGTTTACCAACAAGTTTGCATCATCGCTGAGCGGATAACTAAGCGTGGCGGACCGACGTCATTTCGCTGACTTCAATTTCTAACTTTAACCACGCGACTCTAACTTCAATCGAAACCTGAGTTTGAAACCAAAGTTCAAATTACGGCATGAACTATGCGGAACTAACAAAATGTAGGTTTCCAAAATTTGTGTTTGAAACCCTATTTTACACCAAAGACAAGGTTTTCGCATTCCGCATAAACGAACCGGAGGTTGAAATTAGTTAAAATTCGACTTCAAACGCTATTTCCAGGTGGGCGATCGGCAACATGGTGGATTCATTATCATAATGTCCGTAAACAATTGGTGCTTTTCCCTCGATTTTGCCGCAATTTTGTCATTATTCAACATTTTTTCCAATAATAATTTTACTAATTGTTGCTTAAGCACTTTTATGTGATTCCTTCAGTTATATGTGGCTTACTTATCCTTATTTAGCTAAACGTAGGACGTTATTTTCTAGTGAAGGTGTTTAGTGTCAGAACGAATCCTGGCTTACCACTGCTTTTTCAGATTATCCTTGCAACTCTAATCCACATTTTATGACTAAAAACACGGAATGAACGGTTGTGGTTTTACTGAACTCAAATTGAGGGGCTTGGAGGACAAGGTATACGAGTTCAGATTTTGAAAGAATTGAGTTATTAATGATGTCGATTAAAACTAGACCTAATGCATACCTATGCTGCAAAAAATTCGCTCCCAAATTCCAATTTTCAAGCATCCAAAAGTTAGTTTAAACTTTCTTTCCGCCACAAGGATCCATGTAATTTTGATACTTCTAAAATCTATTTCTCATAATAGCAAAAACTGCACTTATGCGCCTTGTCCTCCAAGCCCCTCAATTCTAGTCCCTGCGGCTCTAGATGTTTGTGCGTATCAACTGAAATGTGTTATCAAACAGACAAAAGTTGCTCATTTTTTACTTCTTTCACTTACCCACCTAATAGTTGCCTATAATGCATTGATGCGTATCGTGTTGTATAAACTAGAATTCATGCTCCTTTTCATCCAACCAACTTTACAGGCAAGACTCAGTATACAGAAGCAAGGCAAGCAAAGAGCTTTACATGCTACAATTGAGTAATAGCCTTACTAGTTCATCATCTGCGGAGAACTTTTTCACTGTATCCACACGATTTGCCGAGGATTTCAAGATAAGGCACCCTGCTTCTCTTTAAGTAGTGCACCGAAGTTTTTCATTTCAATTTACAGATTAAATCGAAAATCTGATTCAATCAGAGCTGTGTAGCTCTTGAATTTGTGTGTTATCCGTGCACCTATTTCCTGGTTATCCTACTGAAAGTGTGAGACCAGCCACAACCGTGACCTGCTGACCTATTTCTTTGATTCAATCTCTTGAAAATGATGTCTCTAATTCTGAGGCCATCCTTTATTGAAACTAGTTCAAAGTTATTTCTCCAAAGTATCATCACTCTCCTTATAGTGAGGCAGAAGGAAGGAGATTTTTTAGTGAGTGCTCCGTGATCCAAGATTTGCAATTTGAGATAAGTAGGAATACGGTTTTTATTGAGGTGTGTAACAATTTTTGGTCGTTGAATCACTTATCATAATTGAGCCTTGGCGTTAGAGATGCATCAACTGCGGAAAGTGGCTCTGCCTGTGCAAAAATATCTTGTGACAGCAGTGAATGTTAGTAAATGCGCTTTACAGATGGACTGGAAGCTCCGTATTCCAATAATCTACCCGAATAATTAAATTCAGAAGCATTTTTGAATTGAGTTCGTATCGAATCTCAATGGGAAGATAATATACAGTCTAAGCGAAAGAATATCAATGGTAAGGTTGGGTTTGAGTCTTTGGTTAGTGAAATGTAATGGCAGGTTCTGAAATCTTGTTTGTCAGTTGCTCTTTACATGAGTCACCTTTGAAACTCAAGTTTAAGAAAAAAAGACACATAACGCAAACAGTAGTAGGTAGCTTGCCTATTTTCTTTCTATCTTGCTCATGGACTCGAAGATCAGTTGGAAAGAGGGGTGAGAAACAGGATTTCAGCGCGTGTCTCCGGGAATGTGGAAATTCAAAATTTGTGAAGCGCCATAAGTTTGCTAAGATTGTCACTGTCCCTGAGGATTTATAGACCGTGGGCCAGCAGGGGGTAACCCTCCCCCCCCCCCCCCCCCCCCCCCCCCCCCCCCCCCCCCCCCCCCCCCCCCCCCCCCCCCCCCCCCCCCCCCNTCGTGGTGGGGGGGAGTAGGCCCCCCCTAAACCCCCCAAAATTGCTCAGAATTCCGACTTTTCCGCGAATTTTCCCACTTTTACCCGAAAAGGCTTGATTTTAGGGCAAAACTCTACATAACCATTCTGAAAGCTCGTGAAATTCTGGTCTAGAAAAGTCTTAAGTGACTTTGACCAGGACCCGCGGTCCCCCAAAATGGGGGGGCTTGAATTGTCAAAATATCTTCATTTTCCGCGGAAATGACCGTTTCGCCGCGATTTCTCGCCAATAACGCGAAGAAGGTTGGTATTATCGTAAAATCGTTTACCCCTATAATAACAGAGCATTAATTTTTCATTCTAAGGGCGGCCTAACCCCTCGTGGGGGGGAGGGGGGCCCCCCAGCAGTACCCACCCTATAAAAACCGTCAAGATTGGCCGCTTCCTTGAAGTAGCGTTATGCGCAAAAATGGGCGGCAAAATGAAAACAAGTAGCGTTTGTTCTGAGAGAACATCAATGTGGATTCTTGTGGGGGGTGACAGGGGGGAGGGAGGTACATCCTCCTCCCTCCCCCTCCCCCTCCCCCCAAAAAATAATCACGAAAAACGTTAATTAAACGCGAAAATTACACTTTATAAGACGACTTCAGGGCTTGTCATTGACACGCTTACACTAACATAATTTAACGAGGGGGGGGAGGGGAGAGGGGTTTACCCTCCCCCCTCCTCTCCCACCCCCTCCCCCTCCCCCAAATAAATAATCACGAAAAAATTTAATTCAACGCGAAAATTCCATACTCTAAAAGGCGACTTTCAGGGCAAGTCATTGTTACGCTCACACTAATATAATTTAAAGAAGGGAGGGGGGGGGTATTAGACATCTTAGCCTCCCCAGCCAACATTAAAAAAGGGTGGGGGAGGGGTAATTTACAAACGTAACTTACTTAATAATAGGAGGGACGGGGAAACCTAACTACAGTAGGAGAATTTTAAGATTTGAAGGGATACGGAATTAAATCAGGGAACGTAGAGATACTATCTTATTTTTTGGAAATGACTAAAACTGAGGGGAGTTTATTCATAATTGACGGAAATGTACATACTTAAGCTTATGTCAACATTTTTGAAACGTTTGGAGAATAGGCTTAAAGTGTATCGGATCGTTTGCCAAAGTATTCAATCATTCATTTGGTCACAGACAGATACTGCAGTGAACTCTGATTGACGAATAGTTATCAAGATAGTTCGACTCGGAAAAAAGCAAAATTATTTGAATGTTTGCTTCTTATTGGTCTGATTTTCATTGAGTTTGCAAGATGAAGTCAACTTTCACACTGTCAGCGGAGGTAAACTGGCTAGACCCATCTCCATGCCTTAAATATAATTTTCCCAGTGAGTATATTGGGTGTATTTCTTTCGGTTCCATTCAGTTAAGAATAGATCGATAAGCTGGCTCTTGTTTTTACACTTGCCTAAATTACTTTTCAAACTACGGGGTATTTTGGTTGGGGGTCCATTCGTAAAAAAGTATCCCTTAATCCCCCCCATAATTGCTTAATGTTTTTGATGAATTTATCACTGCAGTTTATTCTGTCTATGACCAAATGAATGATTGAATACTTTGGCAAACGATCCAATACACTTTAAGCCTATTCTCCAAACGTTTCAAAAATGTTGACATAAGCTTAAGTATGTACATTTCCGTCAATTATGAATAAACTCCCCTCAGTTTCAGTCATTTCCAAAAAATAAGATAGTATCTCTACGTTCCCTGATTTAATTCCGTATCCCTTCAAATCTTAAAATTCTCCTACTGTAGTTAGGTTTCCCCGTCCCTCCTATTATTAAGTAAGTTACGTTTGTAAATTACCCCTCCCCCACCCTTTTTTAATGTTGGCTGGGGAGGCTAAGATGTCTAATACCCCCCCCCCCCCCCCCCCCCCCCCTCCTCCCTTCTTTAAATTATATTAGTGTGAGCGTAACAATGACACGCCCCGAAAGTCGCCTTTTAGAGTATGGAATTTTCGCGTTGAATTAAATTTTTTCGTGATTATTTATTTGGGGGAGGGGGAGGGGGTGGGAGAGGAGGGGGGAGGGTAAACCCCTCTCCCCTCCCCCCCCTCGTTAAATTATGTTAGTGTAAGCGTGTCAATGACAAGCCCTGAAGTCGTCTTATAAAGTGTAATTTTCGCGTTTAATTAACGTTTTTCGTGATTATTTTTTGGGGGGAGGGGGAGGGGGAGGGAGGAGGATGTACCTCCCTCCCCCCTGTCACCCCCCACAAGAATCCACATTGATGTTCTCTCAGAACAAACGCTACTTGTTTTCATTTTGCCGCCCATTTTTGCGCATAACGCTACTTCAAGGAAGCGGCCAATCTTGACGGTTTTTATAGGGTGGGTACTGCTGGGGGGCCCCCCTCCCCCCCACGAGGGGTTAGGCCGCCCTTAGAATGAAAAATTAATGCTCTGTTATTATAGGGGTAAACGATTTTACGATAATACCAACCTTCTTCGCGTTATTGGCGAGAAATCGCGGCGAAACGGTCATTTTCGCGGAAAATGGAGATATTTTGACAATTTAAGCCCCCCCATTTTGAGGGACCGCGGGTCCTGGTCAAAGTCACTTAAGACTTTTCTAGACCAGAATTTCACGAGCTTTCAGAATGGTTACGTAGAGTTTTGCCCTAAAATCAAGCCTTTTCAGGTAAAAGTGGGAAAATTCGCGGAAAAGTCGGAATTCTGAGCAATTTTGGGGGGTTTAGGGGGGGCCTACTCCCCCCCACCACGATAAAATTCGCGTAAACAAGGAAAATCTTATTCTACTAGTTGAGAGCTTCAAGAAAATCACCATCTTCAAAATTCCCACGGGGGGGGGGAGGGTTACCCCCTGCTGGCCCACGGTCTATTAGTACAATCTTCATGGCACCATGGAGTGAATGTGCGGTGCTTTACTGGATTAGCACTCCTACACTTTCAATGCCTATCTACCTATTGTAAGATCATTAGAAGCCCAATCAACAACATGATGAATTTCTACGACTGCCATAATTATATTTAACATCACTAAAATTACCTATGGCAACTTTTCTGAACTCAGAATATAAGCTCGAGCATGATTTGGAGGGTTGTTGAGATTAAGTATTCATTCAATTTGTAAAGATGTCCGTAAAATGATAAAACATCCACTGTCATTTTTCCAACTGCTCCTCATCAGTAAAGGCTTTTCTAGTGAGAATCCTCCGCTTATATATTGTGGAAAAATTGAACTTACACAAGATAAAAGAGTAATACATTTAATTGAATCAATTCATAGTGAACAAATGAAGTATAGCTTGCGAAAATGGAGTAAACATGAAATTCAAGTTCAATCAACAATATGCGCAGAAAGTTGCCAAAATCGGAAAGTTTGATTCCCCGCGAAAGTCAGGTTACAGTGCCCGCATAAACCTGACAGAGGAAACTTACATGACAAGCTCGGGTTTCGTGAAACCTCGGTTTCGAGCCTTGCATAAACGTAGCTACTGTAACTGTTAAGGTTGGATATGTTGAATACTTATAAAAATGACAGGCCCATTATATCGGACTATCATCAGAGGCGTCATACTTAACCATGTATTGCATCCTCAAGGTGATTCGGCAAGCTTATGTGACACGGTCAAACTGGCATGCGATATATCGCATCAATTATGTGTTGTTTTTAGCGAAAAATAATGTTAACCATGATTGCGTGAAAATGAATTAGATTTTATTACGGAAAAAGGGACATCGTGCTCTTTCGCAAGAGACTAACAACGAACTAAACTATCATGGCCGGACGCCACTCGGACATGAGTCTCAATCCACTCGTCGAAAAGGTGAAGCTCCCGGTTTTGAGTCTCCAGCTGAAAAATACCTTTCCTTACTGATAAAAGGGTTTTATTTCATACATCTATCTTTATTCATCTTATTTAGTTCAACGTTGTTTTACTTCACTCGTGTAGGTATTTTTCAGCCAGAGCACAATTCCAGGGTGTTTCACCTTCTCTTCACATGATTGCAAATTATTCTTAACAATTATTCTTTTTCTTATTTTTACTCTAAACAACATTATGTCCAGTGTTCGGAATTCACTTTTGAGTTTTAGGCGCCATGTGGCGCATCAAGCCCGATTTTTAGGCGCCATTAAAGATTTTTTAGGGGCCAAATTGACTTTATGCCCTTATATTATGGCGCATTTAGTGAAAATATAGACGTAAGATATTTTCTTGACAGAACTAGTAAGTATAGTTGTGAGTTCAGAAAGACAAAAGCAGAAATGATGAAAGCGTGACGAATAGAAAAAGCCTTCGCTTGTGGTGCTGAAAATTTCGAATAATAACCTAATATGTAAATTCAGATTTTTAAGGGCCACGTTGGCGCAGAGCCTTCATTTTTTAGGCGTCATGAACGATTTTTTAGGCGCATTTGGCGCGTTGGCGCCTGAGAGTTTCGAACACTGATTATGTCCAAATTCTCGGCTTATTTTGAATTTTCAGCCACAAAAAGTAGGTAGCTGCTACGCGTATGCTTTGAGAATCATTCTAAACCCAAAAATTGGCAAAATTTAGAGAAATGAAAGCAGTATAGTGTTTGGAAATAACCCTCGCATTCGATGTAGAAATAGATAGCTGTATCAAATGCGAGGATTTTTTCTGAACATTATTCTGCTTTCATTTCTCTAAATTTTGCCGATACTTGGATTTAGAATGATTCCTTTGGCTCATGCGCAGGGATTATTGTTCTTTTTGTTGCTGAAAATTCAAAATCTGACGAGAATTAGGACCTAATCGATGCGATCTATCGCATGCCAGTTCGACCACGTCACTGTAGCTTGACAAATCACCTTACGTAATGATAAACAAATCTGTAAGGGTCATTCTGTGTCAACTGTGCCAGGCTTGAAGCCCCCCTCTGATTTGGCTGAAAATTGGTTTATGCAGTCTTTACATCATTCTAAGGCCTTGTCTCCACGGGCCGTTTCACGAGATTTGTCCCAGGGAAAAATTCCACTTACGAAGTTGGGAGAATATTGAGTTAATCAATATTTTTCCCAGATTCAAGTATGGAATTTTGCGATATTTTGTTGACTACTCTATTTTTCATGTTTGTTTAGTTTAAATAATGTGTCTAATTGTCAATTGAGTGCAAATATTATTTTAATCCCGGTTGAATACTCGACTTTAAGTAAGTTATCTTCCAGCACAAACTAGTGGCAGGACCGTATGGGCGTATGAGCCTTGTCTTGTAGAGACGGTAACTGGGAAAAATTCCAGAAGTTTCATTCTTGCGATTCGAACTTGAGACAAATCCCATGAAAACGTCCCGTGATGACAAGGCCTTCGTAACTAATTTTTAAGGATTTTCCCTTCTTGGTTTGAAGTAACTGAATATGTATCTCAGACTAATAATGTTTTGTATGCTGTAGGAGAGCATTAGAAGTTTTAAAATTATGCAGAACGCAGCAACTGTCAAATGGAGGACAATTTGTCCCCCTATAGAATCAATTCAGAATCCTGAATGCAATGAGCCTCTCCTAGATGCAGAAGAACCGCAGCAGGTCATGGGAGATTTTATTAAAGGTATGGTATATGAAAATGTATGCTCTCTTTTCTCATGGATGCAGTAAGTTTCTTGCCTTCACATTTTTCGATACAGCCTTTACATATTTTAAGGCTGCCTTTACATCGCTGTCCCCCCAAGACTTCCTTCCCTTCAAATTTTTTTAGTTAGCCCTCACGGTGCTGTCACAGACAGTTCACAATCCTGCACTTGAAATAATATATTTTGCGGTATTCCTCTCACATAAAAACGCGTTTCATAGTTTCTCTCAGAAAAAGTAGCGCTGCCGTTCCTTTTTCACTCCTTCTCAGATGCCCTCACATTGCAAAAACCCCTTTTCAGAGGCCCTCACATTTCTGTTGCAACCTATCAAGTTTGGATTGGGTGTTAGGTTGTGGAAGTTTTGCACCCCTGTCTTGTTTTATTTATACAGGGTGTCTGGAAGTTAATGTACTTAACTTTCAGGATCGATTTTTCTATGTAAGTATATTAAAGTATGACTATTTTTTATTATACACATATGCCTGACAACGCTTCAAAAGTGAGCTATGCTGTTTCAAAGTTGTCATTTTTTTTCTTTCAAATTGATGTAGGTAACTCCTTGTTATTTTGTATTAAGAAACTGAAACTTGGTGTAGGAGAGTATTAGATAGCGTATTGTTCATTTTTTGTGTTTTTAAAGACGTACGCAAAAGGAGCTTTGAAAATTTCAAATTTTTTCAGAGCTCTAATCCAACTTGATCTAAAGCAAATTTAATCAATAATACCGTAAACACTTTTTTACAATACCTTACAATACAATACATTACTGAAAATAGCAAAAATACAATATTTCATATATTCTTGTTTCTATGATTTAACCCTTAGATTCCTAACCGGGTTTGCGAGGCCCGGCGGCTTCTTATTTTTTGCGCCACGGCAGCTGTAATTATCCGAGAAGTCTGTCCTTCACAAAGAGCTCCACAAAACTAAGAACACATTTCCAGAAGAAAAATTTCAACAAATGTTTTTTTAGGCACAGCAATATTTTTTTCATGTCTACCCCTAAAATGACCAACCGGGGCCTGCAAGGCCTGTATTGAGAATGTATGGTTATTTGATCGCTGCGATGCTTTTTTCTATATCTTTTGAAGAATTTTATGATTTTCATACTTCGTCTTCTATTACCAAGGCCCAAAATTGACCTTACACCCATAAACTGCCCCCCCTCCCCCTCTCGATCTCCCCCCTCTCTCCCCAGTCCCCTCAGATCTAGGAGCCACTCATTATAAACACACTTTTATATATTTTTTAAGATTTTGAGGAAGTTACATTGAAGAAACATTATTACCCCTATAAATATACTTGAATTTGAGAGGGAGGGGGGAACCTTGCCCACCTCTCCTCCTCCCCCTCCTCCCGGTAGCCAAAAAAAGTCGTACTTTCCGATGTGTTTCTTTCAAAGTTTTGCGATTCCAAGGTTTATTTTTTAATTTTGTGAAAAGACAGAAAAGTCTTAAATGTATTATTATACTATTACTACTGATAAGTCGCTCTGATGGCGCTCCTGTGCGCCCTGCAACACCCAACCGCCACTGACAGCAATCTTACCAGAGCACCCCCGGTAAAGCCCATTTCCTCATTCCCAGCCTTACTCCCTCAATCTATGATTTGACAGGGCGTCCTCTACGTATTTTCTTACGACTCAAAAGTAACGCCTTTACTTATTCACCGTATTACAAGAAACGCCTAAATTTTACTCGTTAAAACTCTTAGATTGTCAAAAAGTATGAGTAGATAATGAATAATGATTTCAGTAATAGGACGATGTACAAAACAAGGAAAAATGACGGACAATATACATAGGTAGGACAGATTTTAGGAAAAACAAAACATAAAATAAATTACTGAAGGTCTAGAAAATCTAACTTATTATTTACTCATTATTATAATTATGCTTTTAGGTGCTTCTTGTGATACGGTGAATATGTAAAGGCGTAACCTTTTAGTTGTAAGAAAATAATGCATGATGCTTTTACAGTTCCTAGATAGTATATTATCTCCATGACCACCTCTTAGCTACAACTATTACAGCAAAACTCCAGGAAAACCATTGAAACTTCACAAGAAATCTTGTCCTGCGTTTATCTCATAATTCACTGTGAGGAATATATCCAAAATTTGCTTTAACTTGTCGCAAATATGTAGAGGACGCCCTGTCAAATTATGGATTGAGGGAGTAAGGCTGGGAATGAGGAAATGGGCTTTACCGGAGGTGCTCTGGCAAGATCGCTGTCAGTGGCGGTAGGGTGTCGCAGAGCGCACAGGAGCGCCATGAGAGCATTTTATCAGTAGTAATAGTATAATAATACATTTTAGACTTTTCTTTCTTTTCACAAAATTAAAAAATAAACCTTGTAATCGCAAAACTTTGAAAGAAACACATCGGAAAGTACTACTTATTTGGCTATGGGAAGGAGGGGGAGGGGTGAGGGGTGGGCAAGGTTCCCCCCTCCCTCTCAAATTCAAGTATTTTTATAGGGGTAATAATGTTTCTTCAATGTAACTTCCTCAAAATCTTAAGAAATATATAAAAGTGTGTTTATAATGAGAGGCTCCTAGATCTGAGGGGACTGGGGAGAGAGGGAGGAGATCTAGAGGGGGAGGGGGGCAGTTTATGGGTGTAAGGTCAAAAACCCTCAATAACATTTTTCGGGCAAAAAATCCGGTCGAGGAAATTGACGTGTCACTCCCTTTTAATCAAGTATAAGATAGGCAAAAACCTTTGATGAATTCCCAAGGTCCACTAAGACTAATAATCATCAAAAAGTTCCAAAAACTTACTCAAAAGGAAAAAAATAAAATGAAAAATAAATCCCTTGCCAAAAATAAATAAAAAACCGATTTTGAGATAAATCCCTCGAATGAACTTGAAATCACAAAATCGGTCGAGGATGTCAATTGAAATTTTTCCCCCTTTAATTATGAGCTCCGCAACAAGCGTGACTCGCTTGTACCTTTTCATACACGAGCCGCACGAATTCATCTCTTCTTCTCTCCTCTCCTTCCGTCCATGGACAGAGGTCCAAAATTTTTCGGATTTACTGACGCGACCGGCTGCGGCTCGATGCTGTCAGTGAATCGGTGCCTTCGTATCATCCCTGGTGTCGGCTTCAAGTCGGTTGCAGTTTCACCAGTTGACCCATTTTTCCATAACCACACGTTAGACTTTTTCGAAACATGATTCATCTGAAACATGGATTTTTTTTTAAGGGAGCTTACCATTTGCTTTGGACGGTAGGTAGGTTGTAAGTAATAATTGTTCTTATACTCTATCAGTTAAGTATAAAATACATCTGTACCATTGGATGACATTTCGACAGACACGTTAGGTCTGGACAAGTGAGGGGATTTCTGAATCGCAAAATTATTCGTGGAATTGTTATAGTGGAGGAGTTGAGTCCCTTCACGGAATGAGCCCCACTTAAGTCGACAGGTTGTATGTGTTTCTCTCTGACTTATGTGTAATCTTAGTAATCCACTCATGTTTACGCACCGAGCCGCAGCCGGTCGCGTCAGTAAATCCGAAAAACTTTGGACCTCTGTCCATGGACGGAAGGAGAGGAGAGAAGAAGAGATGAATTCGTGCGGCTCGTGTATGAAAAGGTACAAGCGAGTCACGCTTGTTGCGGAGCTCATAATTAAAGGGGGAAAAATTTCAATTGACATCCTCGACCGATTTTGTGATTTCAAGTTCATTCGAGGGATTTATCTCAAAATCGGTTTTTTATTTATTTTTGGCAAGGGATTTATTTTTCATTTTATTTTTTTCCTTTTGAGTAAGTTTTTGGAACTATTTGATGATTGTCTTAGTGGACCTTGGGAATTCATCAAAGGTTTTTGCCTATCTTATACTTGATTAAAAGGAAGTGACACGTCAATTTCCTCGACCGGATTTTTTGCCCGAAAAATGTTTTTGAGGGTTTTTGTAGTTTATATCGGGTCGTTTTTGGGTGAATAAGTACCTAAAGGTCTGGCTATACGAAGAGCTAGCAAAACCGAAGCATTCGGTGGCACCTGGAGTTGGGTGTAGGATTTGGGAGTCAGAGCGAATCGGAAAACCGGAACGAAAGTAGAGCGCTACTGGTGGAGAAAAGTGAAAGTGAAAACTAGGGTTTCGGCGTTAGCCGCGAGAGAGCGCACCAATGCTGATTCTGATTCTTGCAACTTCCCAGATCCTGAGAACTCGGACCAATTGCAGCAAAGTAAAGTTTAAAAATTGCCCGCGAATTTATTTACTTTCAGATAGGGCTTTATAGGATGGCACACAGTATAGCAACAAAAACTAAGAATATTGTGAAAATGCACCAAAAGAACAAGGGTTTTGAGGAGAAAGTATTTTAAGATTTAAGTAGAAATTCGTCTGGATAAAAATTTGCCTTCTTATTTTCGAGGTTTTGTTTATTTTGCTCTTGTTGCTTTCCTACCATTTCCTACTTACATTCCCTCTCTCATTCCGTTTGTTTCTTGTTGTACCCTTCGTTCCATGGTTCATACTCAGTCTTTCGCTTTAACCGAAATGCAAGAGCCAATCAAAAATTGATCCTACAAGGCGAAACTCTAAGTATGAAATGAATCTGGTGTTCATTGGTTGAGAAGTAACTGCATCATGAAGAATGTGGCCACCACAATTGAGTCCTTATTTTTACTGAACTTCAGACAGTGGGAAACGCACCCAGAACTGTTGTCAAATTAAATGACGTTTTTAATTAATAATAATGGAACTATCGTGATCTTTTTATCCAAAGGATTGACGCCAAATCACGGATCGGTTGGGAACAATTGAATCTATGAATCGCTGCGTTGCAGCTAGTGTCTTTTGCCCACCCAATAACAAAAAATTATGTTGGTACCTGCACTTGGTATAAAGATTGACAACTGACCTGACCTATTTGATTTATTATCTCATGTGTTCTTAATGCAGTAAATAAGTCTGGAGATCTAAGTATTGGCATGAGTTCATTAGAGAAAAAGGCTCATCTGAATGTGAGAGGCCAAAGCGGTACTTACGGTCACCATACCTGGGTTCGTAGGCTCACCCTCGTACCTACTGAGACGGCAATCTCCATCTCTTGATCGGAGGATATGCCGCACCTAGTTGGTAAGAGTGGAGAGGCAATTATGATTACATTGATAGCATGGGGTCTAGTTGTATTTAGCCTTGATTAACACGATCACACTTACTCCAATGGAACTAGGCAGGAACACGTACCTACGTATCTTAATACTGAAGTCCTCTATACAGATGGGCGATACATTCTGTTACTCTTTTAAATAGAGGAGGAATGGACGCACCCATTTCACACAGCAATGTATGCAAGAAAATGAAACCTTCATTGTATTTTTATCATCAACTTATGAAATTATGAGAATAAAACGGGTACATACCTTTCATTAAAGACCTTGTTATACATTGTTGGGCAAAATGAAGTTTCTAACAACTCCTGACGCAAAATCAAAGAGACTCAGAAGAAACCAATGTGAGCAAATGCTCACAGTCAAGACCTTTGATTATGTGACATTAAGTTGACCTATGATTGAACTGTTCCGAAAAGGGATGGAATTGTGCCTCACATACTCAGGTACGCAAGCCATACGTAACAAGAATGGTAGAAGAGATAGGAGGATTCCAAGATAAATCATGAAGGAAACATGTTCTTAATGTAAATATTATACACTTCAGAGAAGCATAATCACTCCAGAGCACATAGGTTGATGGCAAGATATAGAGCGAATAAATTTTGGTCGAAGTTCAGTGACAGTCGCATGTGAAGACCGAGGCTCATATTCCAGTAATTTTTAGACTTCAGTAGTGAGAATATATTCTATGATGTAAATGCTGCTTTCTTTGGAGTGTTTGGCACAATTTCGGTGTAATTTCTTTGACGTAATTTACCGGGATTACATCTATCGCTTCGGTCAGGTACTGACATAAACATGACGACATAACCTCACTTAAAATTTTGTCACATATCGTTCAATAAAATAGAGATATCACTTGAACATTTTAAGAGAAACTAAGGTAATAGTAGAACCTGTGAGACGTAATAATATGAGTATGTAAATATAGTAGTTAGCATCTACAAAGAATTAAACTCTTATCCAAATTAGGTATATCTATTCACAACCAGTTAAAGAAGTTGGTAACGACCGACCAGAAATCACTTGAGATTTTTAAGAAACCAATGAAGTAGTGTATCCGGGATAAAAGTGGGCGTAATAATATAAGTGTGTAATATTAGTTAGGATCTAAAATGAATTGAACTTTTAAATTAAATCCGTTCATTATTCACAAATAAATACAGCAGCTGGAGGTTGGTATAATCGACGACGTTTCGTTCCGGTAACTCGGACGGACCTGAACAGAATGAACCAATGGCATTGAACCACCGCTGGTTTTTTTCTAAATTCAAATATTATAGCCAAAATTTTGAACGATGTGAGCAGATGCTGGATTATCCGTGCAATAAAGCCCTATTTTATGTGGCGAAATGAAATCCTCATATCTTTAAGAAGTGCCCTTTATATAAGCTCCATTACGATCTGCGGCCGTGTAAGCGAGAAATCTGTTGTCAAAGATGGTCATGACGGGTAGGTTTCAGTCGGTTTAGTCGTATTTTCCGTAATTTCTCTTTTAGAACACTAGGAATGTTAAAAAACTGTAAAAACCCGTAGACACGGTAACATGGCGATTCTTTAGGTACCCACTTGTATGGGTCTAAGGTTTACCGTTATCGCGGAGTTTGAGTGACTTTCTCAGGACCCTGGATTCTTGAAATTCAAATTTCCCGGTAAAGTGAAAAGTAAAATTGTCGTCGTTTTGGGTCATTAAGTGCTTATAACTTTTTGAAAACTCAATAGATCTTAATGAAACCCTTAAACGCCATCCGGCTAACTTAGCTGCGTCTATAGACATCAAGATCGTTGGAATCCGTGCCGCCGTTTGCTCTGAATTCCATTCTAAATCGAATCAATTTTCAGATTAAGGGAGTTGCCTGTGACTAAGAGTGTCGGCCACCCGTTTGTTATCGGGACTTTAGTAGGACGTCACTTTCCTCGACCGCGGGTGGCTACCGCCACTCTTGATTTTGGGCCTTGGTAATAGAAGACGAAGTATGAAAATCATAAAATTCTTCAAAAAATATAGAAAAAAGCATCGCAGCCATCAAATAACCATATATTCTCAATACGGGCCGCGCAGGCCCCGGTTGGTAATCCGTGTAGGTAAAAACGGTTGGGAATCTAAGGGTTAAGTTATGATTAGTTAGATTCTATGATTTCGAAAATCTCAAGGCTTTTCAAAGCTCTGTTGCATCAAAATGACGCGTTTCTGGAAAATTAAGTCCATTACCATGTGCCCTTGATTTTTTGCACTTTCTCTTGTGCTGTAATCCATTTTTTCAAATATCATCTATCTAAAAAAGTATCTTAATTTCAAAATTTGGGAGCACTTGTAACGTCATGTTTTGAAGGGGTACGTAGAGTACCTTTATAGACAGTATGGCCATTCGTATCTTTTTACTACAGGAAAACTGTGCCGCTTTTTGATTAGTCAACGAGTTGTTAGGCTTCATGATGCTCTTACAGCCGTAAATAAACAAACAAGATGGCGGCTTACCGTAACATCCATATGAAGCTAAAATTTGACAAAAAGTTCAATGTTACCGTAGTAACATTGTAAACTAGCATATCTACGAATAACACGTGAGAAACACATGGAAACACTGTTAAATCGCCTTTCGTCTTTATAACAGGAGGATGTAAGATGTGCATAACCTCAAACTTGTTTGTTGATAACAGCCATCTTGTTTGTTTATTTACGGCCGTAAAAACAACTTGTCAGCCTATCTTCATGCGACCAATGAAAAACCGGCACAGAAATGGCCATACTCTGTCTATAAGAGTACTCTAGAGGTACCTACATCCTTGAAAACACAAAAAATGAACTACGCAGTATAGTATAATACCCTCCTACACCAAGTTTCAGTTTCTTACAAGAAAAGAACGAGGAGTTACATCGATTTGAAAGGAAAAAAATGACAACTTTGAAACAGCATAGCTCACTTATGAAGCGTTTTCGGGAATATGTGCATAGGAAAAAATAGTCATATTATGAGCCGAAAAATCGATTCTGAAAGTTAAGTATGTTAACTTCCGGACATCCTTTTAACTTGAAACTTGGGGTTTGTTTTTGGTCAAATTGAGCTGATTTTTGGCCCCCTAAGATTCTCAGGAAGCAACGGACTCCAAGTTTTCTCTCCAATGGGAAGACCCCTCTTGTGATACTTCGTTTGAAAGAGCACAAAAAAACAAGGCAACAACAACTTTTCGCGAAACCTGAAGTCGTCATCTCAAACTGTGTTAAAATCATGCCTGGACGAAATTCAAAATGACCAAAATTTGGCACCTTGGTTTCATGTCGATGAATTTGCCCAGAACTTGAAATGAAGGAGGGTATTTTGACATAAAAAAGAATGAATTTAACGTTAGATTTTCCGTACAAACTAAAATTTCCATAATGGTGGCCGGTTTAAGTTCTAGATGACCCTAAATTGGTTTTTCGCATGCGATAATATCCCTGCGTTCCAAGTATCAGGCAAATTCATCCGGAAAAAACTGAGATGCTAACTTCCGGTCATTTGGAACTTCAACCAGCTGGAATTTTGAAAATTGCTTCTCCAAAACCTCTAATGTTAAATTCGTTTTTCTGGTGCTAAATCAAGTGGCTTTGCAATCCCTTTGACAATCTGAAGACTCATTTGTTAGAACCATAGATTCCTCTGGTGACAACATTGTGTTTTGTCATAGAGAAAAATTATCTCAGTGTCCAAGTTAAATTAATGGAATAAAACAAATTCTTTAACCATGACCATGATAGAAGAAAAATGTCATGGCCATTTTTAGAAAAATAGATACTTCGTATCATCTGTGAACGGAGGATCCATCATTTTCAGCTCTTACCTCATCACCTTTTTTCTCTTCAGATGGGAGATATGCATGGCAAAGTATTGGACCGTATTTACGGGTCATTAGCTCAGATGACGGCGTTGTTCGAACATCCTTTACTTTTGGAGATGCCATACATGATGACAGTGCTCAGGTATTCTTTTCTCTTTCTTATTTGTCTCAATTCATCTTAGTCTTTATTCAGTAATGACAGGTAACAGTACAAGGAGCATAGGGTGGCGCAAAAAACACTTTTTTCGAAATCCGATGATGAGTACTGAAGAAAAGTTGACTCTTGGCATGAAATGGATGAGAAAAAAATCCAGCTTCTGAAGGACAATGCCTTCATCGTTAGGTAACATACCTAGGGCTCGAATTTTTAAAATCTCAAATTTTCGTTTTTACCGTGGTTTTTTCTAAAATAATTCCTAGATGATTGAAAAGACACTACATAGACATACTACTCTTGTTTTTAAAGGTAATTTGAGTCAGAGAATCGGGTTTTCTGTTGAATAGACAGCACCCATGCACGGCTCGGTAGATGCACCACAAGAATGCCGACAATCCGAACGAAGACTAACCAGTACCGTACCATTGTATGAGCCACTGCGGCTGGACTAGCCCTACAAATCAAGGACGCCCCTGATCCGAGGCATTCCTGTTTACGCGTCATTATTGAGAGCAAAACTCTTCTTATAAACGAATTTATGGTTTAGTAAGACTTGCAAGTGTGCTTAGAAGCGAAATGACTGACAAAAGGAGGAGTATCGTTTTGCGCCTTTTCTGGCCCCACCTGGATTTTGCTGAATGTTTCATTTTTTCAAAGTACTAGTCCTAGGTAAACTCTATGGCAAATATTTTACCGAACGGAGCCTATGCAAAGGTGCAGCAAAAATGGCCAAAATTTGATAAATTGCCATGCGTAAGGTTCAAAAAAGTGGAGTACAACTTTTATATCAACGTACGTAACAGCTCCTAACCATATATACAACATATCAAAAAAGTATAATTGTACCGGAATTCCCTTGATGTGAAAATTGGCAGTGTCCCTGAATCTTTAGGAAAGTCATAATTCACATCTTAGAATCTTCGACGTGATAATAAATCCAATTTTTCTCATTTTTGGCACTTAAGGACGATTTTTCTCGAAAATTTGGCAACGTAGGGTAAAGTGACAAAGAACTGTAGGCATGTATTTTTTTATGTTCTTTCCAAAAATGTACCCGGTATTTAGATGAAATTCTAAGTGGCGGTAGCCACCTCGGCCCAATCTAAAAAACTCCCCCTAAAAAATGATGAGACCAAATGAAAAGAAAAAAAAAAACCGACGGGTGGCTGCTGCCTAACTAGTTTTACATGAAACACCTCGATCGGGCTTTTCTGCACGGTTTGCGGTCCATTAAGCTCTCCTACTTATTAAGTCGTAGAATAAACCCCCAAAACCCTATAATATTTGGGTAGAGTATGCTCAGCTCTACTCGTAATGCCCACCCTTTTTAAGTTTAGTGAAATATTAAAAAAGTTATTAAGCTTTAACGACAAATTTTGGACCCCAAAAAATGACGATGATGGAATTGACCAATTGCTGAGCAGAAGAGCAGATTCGGGGCAGATTCGAGGCCCGCGAAACGCCCGGCCGCGGGAGTGCCCGTTGTGACTTTCCAATCGACCTACAGCTATAACCGTAAAAGAAACCCTTATAAAACTGTAGACATTTTGAAACTACTGTTTATAATGCAGATACATTTTTTTGCAAATTAGAACTAAATGTGGCATAAGAGAGAAATAACGACAAATAGGTCATTTTTCTAATGATTCCAGAGGCCGACCTGTGTAGAGGGCTGTGGAAGTAATGGTAGCATAAAACGCATTAAACTAGGTAAAATTTAAGTCTGTAGACCCCGGAGATGGAACTTTTGGTACTTTCGCAGACTTACATAGACGTCGAAAGGAGAAATAATCGAAAGAAGGAGCGGGTCCTTCAATTCTTCAAACACATTTGATTTGAATTTGAAAACAACTTGTGGAACTTGTGTGTTTGTAGAGATGGATGGTGAGCGCCGACTCCAGAAGCTAAATTTCAGGTTATGCTACTGTTTTATTATGGCTTTAAATATCTAAATAATAAGAAAAAGGTAGATTAATTGATGCGTGTTTCTATTTTATCAAAGCCGAAGATAACTGGATCCATTTCTATATGATCCTTTTATGATTCCCGCACCCTTGATAAATTTAGTTGTCACAGTAAGTACTCGGATCAACCTGTCATTTCTTCCCAGCGGCCCTGATCTAGTGATCTTTTCAAGTAATTGTTCATGAATGATTAATGATATCCCACTATAGTGAGTCCTAGATACTATTTCTCGTTAATAAGATTCAGCAACTTTCCACCAGAAAATCATCCTTTCCCTCAATACGATGATGTGTGTCGGGGATCTCAATCGGTGGGAATGCCCTGCGTTTCCACTTTCTGCTGAAATTTTGCTAGCAGCCAGGCAGCCTACCACCTCCGGAGTTGATGTGTGTTTTCTCAGTGTATCATGCAACTGGTGCCTAAAGCCTGTATGTTTTCATAGACTTGTGATGCCTTATATTGGAAAACTGGTTAACGCATTCACCCGTCAGTCTTGGTTATGTGTCTACTTAAAGAAGCTACGCTTCACTGAAATGAAACCACTTCAATGAAATTAACTCAATGTCACTAAATCAAAGATACTTGACTTCAAGCATTAGCTTTAATTTGATTATTATCAAGTCTCTTTGATTCTGGGTCAGAAGTTGATTGAATCATCAAAGCCTGTGTTTGGAAAAAATTCTTCAAATCTAGGTCTTTCATATTGACCTGTGCAGAAGGTATGTATCTATACTACTCCTTCATTGGTTTGATAAAATTGAGATTCTAACTAATGCAGGATATACTTAATGATAACCTCTCTATACATTTGCTAAAATTTGCAATACCTGGAGACGCAAATTCCGTCACTGCTTACTGCATTTAGGAGATAATGCAGAGCGGCTGTTCAATATAAAACATCAGTGCCTCTTGACCTCTAGATTATCTGAGTCCTCGCCTGACAAATTTACCCACTATGAGAGTGCGACAGAAAATCAGCTGTTCCATTTAGCACGGAAATTGGATAAAAGAATTAATTCTCTGGCACCTCCTGCAAGTGCGTTAAAACTCATTAGATGTGGACTTTTGATGAACGGAGCTGGCAGGTTATTGAAAACTATCAATCGAGACTCAAACAGCCAAAAATTTTAGTCCAGGCGACTAAAATTTTTGGCTGCTACAGCCTCAACATCCACTGACTATCTCCTTTGATGAAGCGTAAACTGCTCACATTTCTCAAGATAAGGAATGCCTGTGCTTGAAAGGCATCTCTCATAAAACAGAAAGCATTGATACCTACTTATTTTGCCTACCAGTCTTGATGAGGCAGTATCCTGCATCCTCCATGTTATTACTGCTGATTAGTTTGTAGGTCAGAGAGGCTGACTATTCATAGAATAGATGATGGAACACATTATTGACTTACCTGCAGTGAGCTGCAGAATTTAGTTTGCATTTTATCATCAGCTTGATAGAATTAAAAGAAAGGTGTCCACGTAGGATATAAAATTCAGCCCTATGTAAAGGAGGTTTCTCTACTGTAAAACCCTGTAAATTCATGTTTACAGCATAGGTACAGTACAAAAGAGACAGACAATGCAGAATAGTCATAAATCACAAGTGGCTCCTAAGTTGTTGTTCATCTGACTCCTTGCCTAAAAAATTCCTTCAGAATATCCATTGCTTTACTTCATCATTGAAAGAATAAACAAGAATTCTCCGTTTTACCCTGATAGCGCATTTAAACTCAATCCGTACCAAGTACGGAATCTGCATGACCAGAAGTAGCGGATGCAGGCTCATGAAAATGAAATTGTATCAAACTGTTTCATTACAGTTCAAAAGATTTATGCTATTGCGATTGAAATTTCAGTTGTGGCAACTGTAATTTTTGCTTGCGAAAGGATCAACTTTTGCTGTGAATCTTTTCTGATGAAGAGTGAACTGGTCACATTTCTCAAGATACATAATGCCATAGCTTTAGAGAAAGCTCTCATAAAACCAAAAATTATTGATAAATACTTACTTTGCCAAACGCTATCTTTATGAGACGGTATCAAGCGTTTGCAATTTTATTACTGATGATGAAATTAGAGTTCGGAGAAATTGCAATTTGAATGGTCAAAGGACCTGGCACGCATAACTGGGTATTAGCAGCGTAAATAATAGTGCTCCTGCACTGAGCTGCAGAATTTAGCTCGCATTCTATCATTAGCTCCATTAATCAAAAAAAAAGTGTCAGATATAATGTAAGACATAAAAATTAGCCCTAAGCATAGGTGATGTCCCTACTGTAAATCCTGGTTTTGTGTCTACCGTACACAGGAGATGGAACATTACATAAAAGTCCTATATTAAAGGCGGCTCCCAAGTTGTTAATTTTATCATTGGAAGTAAACCCATTACACTGTGCAACAAAAAAAAAATGACTAAAATGTCTCCAGGACGAGATAAGGTGATCCTTATGTATTTTGAGGCGCTGAATCCGAATATGACCTCCGTTTTTTCCCATCACCCTCCACTTTTCCGGAAAAGCGACTTTTCCCCCGGAAAATGAGCAAATTTGAAGTATATTTGTCATGCATGCAATTTATTTGTATAAATTTTTCTGGACCCGTGGTACAGTCATTCTTATGTATTTTAAGCCGCTGAATCCGAATATGACCTCGGTTTTTTTCCATCACCCCCCAATTCTCCGGTAAAGTCGATTTTTCCGAGCCTAAATTTGTGTATAAGCTTTCCCGGACTCAAAGGGGATCAAAAATATATTTTAAACGTGTCCACGACGTGCGATACATCGATTTTTACGTATTTTGACTCGCTGAACCCGAATATGGTCTTGGATTTTTCCAATCACCCACGATTTTCCCGGAAAATCGATTTTCCTTGGAAAACTACCTTTTCCGGTGTTTTTTGGACGATTTTCCTGTTGTGAGGAGTCTAAGAAATTTTCTGAGATCCTCTCTAGGTCTCTTCTGCTATATTAAGAGCAACTGAATCCAAATTTGACCTCTATTCATCTCTGACAACCCCCCGTTTTC